AGATTGGTTGCTAATTCCCCTGCACTAATATTATCACACCACATTACAGGAGCTTGATGTAAATTTTTTCCCAATTCAGAGAACATACTTTCTAATTAGGCTATTTCAGTTATTGTGTGAGCCAAAGCCCTATACTCAGTTTTAATAGAAGATAAGGCAACTACCTTTTATTTTTTGGAACTCCATTAAATTAGACTAGGGCCTAAATATACACAATAACCACTATTGGACCTTCTGTCATCAAGATTACTACCACAATCTGCATCAACATTACATTCAACACATAAGGAGGCTACTAGTTTGAATTGTAAACCATGATCCTGAGTTCTTTTAAGATACCTCAGCACTCTTTTGCAAGCTTTCCATTGGAGTTGAGTGGGAGCTTGTAAAAATTGACTAAGCTTGTTGACAATATAGCTTATGTCAAGTCTGGTTAGAATCAAATATTGTAAAGCTCCTGCTTTTATACAAGCTTGGATCTTTGAGCACTTCACTATCAGTAGAGAAAAGCTTAGGGCCCACAGCCATAGGAGTTGAACATGAATGTGCTTCCATCATTTTTGTTTTGGCAAACAAATCAATAACATACTTATTCTGTTTTAAGTGAATTCCTTAAGTTGTTCTTAGAGCCTTTATACCAAGGAAATAGTTTACTGAACTAAGTGTTTTTAGAGAAAACTGATCATTGAGCTCTTGCACCAACTATTGTGTAAAAGACTTATTTGCACCAGTAATAAAAATATCATCTACATAGATTAGAATGCAAGTCATTTGACAATCACTCTGAAGAATAAACAAACTGGAGTCAGAGATAGAATTGCGAAACCCTTTGTCTAGAAGAGCTTGCTTTAACTTGTCAAACCAAGCTCTTGGTGCCCACTTGTAATATACTTTCTAGCTAGTAGTTCTTTGGAAAAATATAAGTAAAATTCACTAAACATATTATAGAAAATATATATGTATATGAGTATGTAATAGAGGGCCCATAAATAAATTTTACTTTATATACAAATCTCTACATCAAGTAAGAAAGTCACAAAAATAAACTTAAAATACAGTCAGATAGTGTTGCCTTTCTCCTCCGCCACTTGACGTTCCATCCGACCACATCTCATCTACAACCTACAAAACTAGTGAAATCAACAGACTGAGCACTAATTGCTCAGTAACTAAACTGATGCGTTGTTACTACAACATGCAATATAGCAAGTGCACTAGTCACACAAAGTAATAAAGTGATGAGTGAGTATCATTCCCACGAGGATTGGTTGCTAAGCACTGATTTTCCTATTTTTTTTCAAGTTGGAGAAACCGAAAGTGTTTGGATTTATGGGAGAATCTAAACTAAATAGAAAGCAAAATTTACTATGTAATTAAAAAGCTAATTAATGAAAGCAAGAGTAAAGTAAGAGTAATATCAATTTAAACAAAAGGGTAGGGTTTTGACTTCATTAGGACTCTATGGATTAATGATTAATTCTACGAATTATGCTACCTCTACACTCACATGCACGGATTGTAACTCGAATTCCCTAAATTGTAAAACATACCTTCTAAGGCTATGAATTCCTACTTTTCCCTATTAAGCTTCCACACCCAACAATTTAAAGATTAATAGATCCAAGTTCATTAAGCTAATGGAATCCTAGGTTGAATTCATTGATTATCAAACCTATCTCTAGCGTTCAATACAACAATGGTGATTACCCAAGAAGCTCAACATGATTCATTTCTCAATCTCATCATGTTCAACAATTAAAATCAATAAAAATCAGAATAATCACACTATCCATGCAATAGAATGTAAAAGTAACAATAATATATTGATTACCCATAGAAAACCAAATTACATCAAAACCCTAACCCAAAGTGAGTTAGTTCATAACGAAATTAACACAAATAGCAAGAAAAACAGTAAACACAGCAGTCAACATGTTGAAACAAAGAGAAAAGAGTAAAAAGATCTCCCTTAATTGATGAATCCACAAGGTTAAATCTCCAATCTTCTCTTCTTTTCTCCTAAAATGTCAAAGCTCTCTCAACCAAGACGAACCCCTCTCAAAATGTCTAAGTTTTTCTTATATAGTCCATCCAAAAACCTAAAAACTTTCCTAAAATAAATACCACTATAAATCGATCAAGGCAATCGTGAAACACCTGGTTCATCAAATCCATAAAAACTGCTGGGGCATTAGTTAACCCAAAAGGCATCACCACAAACTCATAATGCCCATATCTAGTTTGAAATGCAGTCTTGGCAATATCTTACTCTGCCACTCTCTTACTTGATAATAACCCAACCTCAAATCAATCTTTGAAAACACTGCTGTTCCTTTAAGCTAATCAAATAAATCATCTATGCGAGGTAACGGGCACTTATTCTTCACCGTCAATTTATTCAACTCTCTATAATCTATGCACATCTGTAGCAACCCATCTTTCCTCTTCACAAATAAGATCGGAGCACCATTTTTTTAACATCTTTCTAGCCTTTACACTGCTAATTAACATACTAAGCTAGTGGCCCTCTTCGGAACTAAACTTATCCCCATCATCAAGATTAAATCTTGCTTTCTTCTTTTGGCAATCAATCTCTACTCCATATCTCCACAGAAAATCCATGCCTAAAATAACATCAAAATCGGGCATATCAAACACAATCAAATCCACCGGCAACTCCCTTCCATGGATCACTACGGACTCCCCTAGAAGCATCTCCTGAGTCACCACACTAACACCATCTGGCAACTTTATCTTAATGGGCTGTCCCACTATGTAACGCCCCACTTGAGGTATGTAGCTAAGTTATGGTGTATTGCTTGAATGTTTATTGTTTTGCTTTCATTTGGGTTGATATATTGTTAATATTGGTTGGTTGGCCCTTAGTTGAATTTTTGTTAAAGTTATTTTGAGAAAAATATGAAGAAAATCCCTTAAACTTTCATTAGGGGTAAAATGGTCTTTTCACTCAAAATTAGTTGAAATTGTGGGGAGTGAAAAGAGATAGAATTTCATAGAGAATGCATTAAAAATGAGGGCATTATTGTAATTGACTAAGGGACATAGATGAAATTTCTAAGAAAGAGCAAGGGAAAAATGCGAAGACATGTGTTAATTGTGAGTTAATAAGGGTTTGGGTCTAGAAAACCCTTCATTCTTCTTCCCCACTGCCAACTTCTTCTCACCACTTCCTCTCAACTCTTTTCTCAACATTTCAAGATATTTCAAGAATTTTAGAGAGCTTTTTGAGTAGTTTGGGATAGAAACTTAATCCAAAGCACCCTAAGGGTTTTATTGTTTAAAGGGTAGAGAAGAGACAAGCTATCAAAGGAAAGGAAAAGTGTTAGTGAAATCTCTCCATTACAAGGTAAGTAAATCCAACCAAGTTAAGATTCAAGAAAAGTAAATGAGTAGAGATTTATTTTAATTATGTATATATATGTTATACATACTGAGAAATTGAGATGAGATGTGTGCTCAGTCATAGTTGTTGGATATGCTTAAATTATGAGAAGTGTTTTTGAGATGTGATGAGAGGATGTAGTTTGAGGAGATTGAGTAATTTCTTTGGGAGTGTTCTTTTATGATAGGAATTATAGCTATGTGAGGGAGTTTCCTCTCATTTTGGATGGTGAAAGAGAGGAGTAGAGTTATAGATAAAGTAGAGTTTGTGTATGAACATTAGTTGTTTGATGAAATGCCTAAGTGAAAAACTGCCCTGTCACAGTTGTGACATTCTGTGTGATATTTAGGCATCTTACAAATTGAACTGGGTTGAGATCAAAACATAAACGTTATATCGCTGTCTCTAAGCTTTAAAACGAGACCAAAATTGTAGCAATCCGATGTGTATAACTCAAGTTATGCCTTCTTGAGTGTGACCTGTGCAGAATGACTATTTTGATGCAATATTGCATTTGTGCATTTCATAAGTGCACTAAGTAAGAAACTTTAAGCATGAACCATCCTTATGCATTAATTGTGCATTGAGAAGTAGTTTGAGAAAGAGTTGAGAACTTTGTGAATGGACTGCTCTAAAAGTAAAGAGAATGAGAAAATCTAAGAATGGGTTGGTGCTTTGTGAACTCCACCCGGAAGTTATGAAGAATGGGTTGGTGCTTTGTGAACTCCACCCGGAAGTTATGAAGAATGGGTTGGTTCTTTGTGAACTCCACCCAGAAGTTATAAAGAATGGGTTGGTGCTTTGTGAACTCCACCCGGAAGTTATGAAGAATGGGTTGGTGCTTTGTGAACTCCACCCGGAAGTCACAAAGAGTGGGTTGGTGCTTTGTGAACTCCACCCAGCCGTGCCTCTAGTAAGATGAGGCCGTGACATTCAAGTGACAAAGAATGAGAAAATATGAGAAAGAATAGAGGAAGAGAATGAGTATAAGTCACGAAGAGTGGGTGGATGCTTTGTGATCTCCACTCAGCCGTGCCTCTTGTAAGATAAGGCCGTGACATACAATAGAAAGTTAATAGAAAAGAGCTTTGTGAAAGAGAAATAGAAAGAGAAAATAAATGAGATGAGAAGAGTGTAAGGAAGGAATTACGAGAAAGAGTTATGGGGACAGACAAGTAGAGGATTTACTTACTGAGCATTATTTTGTGCTCACCCCGTTTTTTCTCTTTGTGTTTGCAGGATCTAGGTGAGGACGCGGTCGAATGGGCGTCAGCAAGCGAGGGGCAATAGCTACATTGTCCACTGTTTTTGATAACTTTTACAAATGATACCTTACTTTGTATAAAGAATGATTATATCTATTAAAAGAAAATTTTGGGCCCATTTACTTTTGCTAATGTAAATGTATTTTACTTGATGTATTTCTATGAGTATCCTAGTATGAAGCAGTTACTACATTTTTGGTATTAGAGCAGAGATTTTGGGATTTGACAGTGTATTATTCTCATCGCCCCGACGTCCAATAACTGACTGTGTGAGTTAATTCTTTCCTTACTATGAGTGTTTCTCGAATTGATTAAATGTGGTTGTTTTGTAGACGAAGCGTAGTACCCGAAAGCGTGGTAAAAGTGTGATGAATGAGAGAGAACCTTCTAACCCATCAAAAGCTACGCCTCCTCCCTTGGATGAAGCTAGAATTCGGGGAATTATACAACAAGTTATGGCAAAAAGCCAAGGGAGAGTTGGGACCCCCGTACAAGTACCACCAACCACTAATGTAGAAAGAGAACAACCAGTACCTCCCCAGTACAGAATAGATTTGAATCGATTTATGGTCTTCCCAGCCAACATCAACCCTCAGAGTTTAAGGGTACTACGGATCCGGTAGTAGTAGAAGAATGGTTTAGATCCATAGAATGTACCACAGCTTTGTTTCCTATGACAGACCGGGAGAAGATCTGGTATGCGAGTTTCTTATTTTGGGGTGATGCTCGAATTTGGTGGGAATTAATAGAAGATACCCATGATATGGCAGTGATGACTTGGAAAGAATTCAAACAAGAATTTGAGGCCGAGTACAGGACAGAGGACTGAGTTCATGAGAAGGTCCAAGAATTTATTAGTTTGCAGCAGGGATCTAGTACCGTGAAGGAGTACTCAGTGAAATTCAATTCCCTTGCAAGGTTTGCACCCGAAATAGTTAGTACTCCGGCATTGAGAAGAGACAAGTTTGTACATGGGTTGAAGCCAGAGATAACTCGGGATATAATGATGAGTTCTGATCCCCCTCGAACTTATAGTGAGGCCTCAAGGGAGGCAATGAGGGTGAAAATATTTGAGAATAAAATTCCCCCAGTAGGTTCCTCGACAGGAGGACCAAGTGAGCCATCTTCCGCCCTGCAGAGAGAGAAATTTAAGGGTGTGAAAAGCAAAGAAATGAAGAACAATAAGAAGAAGTTTCAGTCTAGACAGAACAGAAGAGAGTGGAGGAGTAAGCGGCCCCGGACGGAAGGGTTTCCTCTTTGCCCTAAATATGGGAGGAACCATCCAAGAGAGTGTTTGAAGGACCAGAGGGTGTGTTATAGGTGCCAACAGCCAGGGCACTTGATGAGAGATTGTAAAGCTTCTCTTTCGCTACCAGCACAGAGTTCTAGAGGTACTACTAATGCCAGGGTGTTTACAATGGCATAGGGTGAAGCAGAGGCTAGTCCATCAACCGTTACTGGTCAGTTACTATTTCATGCTATTCCTTTATATGCCTTAATTGATTCAGGAGCCACTCATTCTTTTATATCTTATGGGATGATAGAGAGGTTAGGCTTGAAACCTATTAAAGTGACTCAACCCATTAAGATAGAGTTACCCGATGGGGTTAGTGTTCTGACGTAGGAGATGTTGTCAGAAGAGTCCGTGGTGATCCAGGGTAGAGCGTTAACAGTTGATCTAATAGTTTTTGATATGCCCGACTTTGATATGATATTGGGCATGGATTTCCTAGGGAGGTATGGAGTAGAAATTGATTGTCTGAAAAAGAAAGCGAGATTCAATCTCGATAGTGAAGACAAGTTTAATTTTGGAGAGGGCCATCAGTTGAGCATGTTGATTAGTAGTGTGAATGCTAGAAAGATGTTGAGAAAGGGGTGTTCGAGATATATTGCCCATGTAGTGCAGAGTGGTGATGTTCCACAACTAGAGATTCAGAGGGTGCCAGTAGTTCGAGAGTTTCTAGATGTGTTTCCGTAAGAGTTATCGGGTTTGCCTCTAGAAAGGGAGGTTGAGTTTAGTATTGAACTAGCACCAGGAACAACACCAATATCTAAAGCCCCTTATCGAATGGCCCCAGCAGAGCTTCAGGAATTAAAGAAGCAACTCCAAGAGCTTTTGGATAAAGGCTTTATCCGACTGAGTCATTCTCCCTGGGGAGCTCCAATTTTGTTTGTGAAAAAGAAAGATGGGTCACTACGGATGTGTATTGATTATAGAGAGTTGAATAAAGTGACAGTGAAGAATAAGTACCCACTACCTTGTATTGATGATTAGTTCGTTGAAAGGTGCCGCAGTGTTCTCTAAGATTGATTTGAGGTCAGGGTATCATCAGGTAAGAGTGGCCGAGCAAGATATAGCTAAGACTGCCTTCAGTATAAGATATGGGCATTATGAGTTTGTAGTGATGCCGTTTGGCTTGATTAATGCCCCAGTAGTTTTTATGGACTTGATGAATTGGGTATTCCATGATTATTTGGATCAATTTATAGTGGTTTTCATTGACGATATCCTGATTTATTCTAAGTCAAGAGAAGAGCATGAGAAACACCTGAGAATAGTGTTGCAACGGTTGAGGGGAATTTGTATGCTAAATTTTCTAAGTGTGAGTTTTGGCTTGATCAAGTGATATTTCTGGGCCATACTGTGTCCAAGGAAGGGATTTCAGTGGATCGGAGTATAGTGAAGGCAATCCTTGAATGGCAGAGGCTGAAAATAGTAAAAGAGATCAGAAGTTTCTTCGGCCTAGCACGTTACAACCGGCAATTTGTAGCAGGGTTCGCCTAGTTGGCTAAACCGTTGACAGCTCTTACCAAATAGATAACTCTTTTTGTATGGTCAGAAGCATGTGAGGAGAACTTCCAGGAGTTGAAGAAGAGGTTAACGACAGCTCCCGTGTTAGTGCTACCACATGAGGGTGTAGATTACGACATTTATACAGATGCTTCACTACAAGGACTTGGTGCCATATTAATGCAGTTAGGTAGGGTAATAGCATATGCCTCTCGACAATTGAAAGAATATGAGACGAGATACCCTATGCATGATTTAGAGTTGGCAGCCGTGGTCTTCGCATTAAATATTTGGAGGCATTACCTTTATGGTGCCAAGATTAATATCTACATCGATCATAAAAATTTAAAGTATTTCTTTACTCAGAAAGAGCTGAATATGAGACAGAGAAGGTGGTTAGAGCTGGTTAAGGATTATGAGTGTGAGATCAAGTATCAACCGGGGAAAGCCAATGTAATAGCCGATGCCTTGAGTAGAAAAGCTTATCTATCCCGGCTCACTAAGCAAAAAGAGTTGATAGAAAAATTGTGTAGAGAACAGATTGAAGTGATTCCGGGAAGGATTGCCAAGTCAGAGGTTCAATCTACTTTACTGGAGGAAGTCAGAGATAAGCAAGTGGCCGATGTGTGGTGTCAGAGAATAGTTCAATAAGTAGATGAGGGCAAGGTAACAGAGTTCCATTTAGTAGATGGTGTCCTCTATTTCAGGAATCGGTTGTGTATCCCTCAAAATGATGAGTTGAGGAAGAGAATACTTACAGAGGCTCTTGACACACCGTACACTGCTCATCCTGGAGCAACCAAGATGTATCAAGACGTAAAGATACGCTACCGGTGGCCAGGTATGAAGAAGGATATTGTAGAATTTGTAGCTAAGTGTCTAGTTTGTCAGCAAGTGAAAGTAGAACACCAACGGCCATCAAGGTTACTTCAGCCACTTAGTATTCCATAGTGGAAATGGGAGAGCATTTTGATGGATTTTATTATATGTCTCCCCAGAGTACAGCGAGGGTATAATGCTATATGGGTGATTGTGGATAGGTTAACCAAGTCAGCCCATTTCCTTCCAATAAAGGAGAGCACTACTACGGATCAGTTGGCTCAGATTTATATTAAGGAGATAGTCAGGTTACATGGTATGCCCAAGATAATAGTGTCAGATAGAGATTCTAGGTTTGTTTTAGCTTTCTGGATGAGTTTACAGAGGAATTTGGGTACTCGTTTGGCATTCAGCACTGCCTATCATCCTCAGATGGATGGCCAAACAGAGAGAACGAATTAGGTGCTTGAGGATATGTTGAGGGCCTGTTGTATGGATTATAAAGTATCTTGGCATGAGATGTTACCCTTAGTAGACTTTGCCTACAACAATATTTATCAGTCTATAATTAAGATGGCGCCTTACGAGGCCTTGTATGGTAGACGATGTAGGTCTCCACTACATTGGGATGAGATAGGCGAAACAGACGAGTTGAGTACTGCTCTTGGGCTAGAGGTGACTCAGAAAATGATAGAAGATATATGGTTAATCAGAAACAGAATGAAGCAAGCCCAAGATCGTCAGAAGAGTTATGCCAACTTGAAAAGAAAAGAAGTTGAATTCCAAGTGGGTGATAAAGTGTTTTTGAAAGTTTCCCCCTTTAAGCGAGTAATGCGCTTTGGAAGCAAAGGGAAGTTAGCACCAAGGTATGTAGGTCCGTTTGAGGTATTGCAACGAGTGGGAAAGGTGGCCTACAGATTGGCACTATCACCTAGCATGGACAAGGTACATGATGTTTTCCATGTCTCGATGCTACGAAAGTACGTAAGTAATCCCTCCCATATCCTGAGATTAGAGGACGTTGACCTAGAAGAGAACCTTGTGTATGAAGAGCATCCAATACAAATTTTGGACCGAAGGATTAAAGAGCTCCGGAATAAGAATATTCCATTAGTAAAAGTCCTTTGGAGAAATCACAAGGTAGAAGAGGCTACATGGGAGGTAGAACAACACATGCAGAATCGTTACCCAGAGTTGTTTGTGTGAATTACGGGGACGAAATTCTTTTAAGGGGGGGAGAATTGTAACGCCCCAGTTGAGGTGCATAGCTAAGTTATGGTGTATTGCTTGAATGTTTATTGTTTTGCTTTTATTTGGGTTGATATATTGTTAATATTGGTTGGTTGGCCCTTAGTTGAATTTTTGTTAAAGTTATTTTGAGAAAAATATGAAGAAAATCCCTTAAACTTTCATAGGGGTAAAATGGTATTTTCACTCAAAATTAGTTGAAATTGTGGGGAGTGAAAAGAGATAGAATTTCATAGAGAATGCATTAAAAATGAGGGCATTATTATAATTGACTAAGGGACATAGATGGAATTTCTAAAAAAGAGTAAGGGCAAAATGGGAAGACATGTGTTAATTGTGAGTTAATAAGGGTTTGGGTCTAGAAAACCCTTCATTCTTCTTCTCCACCGTCAACTTCTTCTCACCACTTCCTCTCAACTCTTTTTTTCAACATTTCAAGATATTTCAAGAATTTTAGAGAGCTTTTTGAGTAGTTTGGGATAGAAACTTAATCCAAAGCACCCTAAGGGTTTTATTGTTTAAAGGTGTAAAGAAGAGACAAGCTATCAAAGGAAAGGAAAAGTGTTAGTGAAATCTCTCATTTACAAGGTAAGTAAATCCAACAAAGTTGAGATTCAAGAAAAGTAAATGAGTAGAGATTTATTTTAATTATGTATATATACGTTATACACACTGAGAAATTGAGATGAAATGTGTGCTTAGTCATAGTTGTTGGATATGCTTAAATTATGAGAAGTGTTTTTGAGATGTGATGAGAGGATGTAGTTTGAGATGAAGTTGGAGGAGATTGAGTAATTTCTTTGGGAGTGTTCTTTTATGACAGGAATTATAGCTATGTGAGGGAGTTTCCTCTCATTTTGGATGGTGGAAGAGAGGAGTAGAGTTATAGATGAAGTAGAGTTTGTGTATGCAAATTAGTTGTTTGATGAAATGCCTAAGTGAAAAACTGCCCTATCACAGCCTTGACGTTCTGTGTGATATTTGGGCATCTTACATATTGAACTGGGTTTAGACCAAAACATAAAAGTTATATCCCTGTCTCTAAGCTTTAAAACAAGACCAAAATCGTAGCAATCCGATGTGTATAACTCAAGTTATTCCTTCTTGAGTGTGACCTGCGCAGAATGACTATTTTGATGTAATATTGCATTTGTGCATTTCATAAGTGCACTAAGTAAGAAACTTTAACCATGAACCATCCTTATGCATTAATTGTGCATTGAGAAGTAGTTTGAGAAAGAGTTGAGAACTTTGTGAATGGGCTACTCTAAAAGTAAAGAGAATGAGAAAATCTAAGAATGGGTTGGTGCTTTGTGAACTCCACCCGGAAGTTGTGAAGAATGGGTTGGTGCTTTGTGAACTCCACCCAGAAGTTAGGAAGAATGGGTTGGTGCTTTGTGAACTCCACCCGGAAGTCATGAAGAGTGGGTTGGTGCTTTGTGAACTCCTCCCGGAAGTCACGAAGAGTGGGTTGGTGCTTTGTGAACTCCACCCGACCGTGCCTCCGGTAAGATGAGGCCATGACATTCAAGTGACAAAGAATGAGAAAATATGAGAAAGAATAGAGGAAGAGAATGAGTAGAAGTCACGAAGAGTGGGTGGATGCTTTGTGATCTCCACTCAGCCGTGCCTCTTGTAAGATGAGGTCGTGACATACAACAAAAAGTTAATAGAAAAGAGCTTTGTGAAAGAGAAATAGAAAGAGAAAATAAATGAGATGAGAAGAGTGTAAGGAAAGAATTACGAGAAAGAGTTACAGGGACAGACAAGTAGAGGATTTACTTACTGAGCATTATTTTGTGCTCACCCCGTTTTTTCTCTTTATGTTTGCAGGATCTAGGTGAGGACGCGGTCGAATGGGCGTTGGCAAGCGAGGGGCAATAGCTACATTGTCCACTGTTTTTGATAACTTTTATAAATGATACCTAACTTTGTATAAAGAATGATTATATGTATGGAAAGAAAATTTTGGGGCCATTTACTTTTGCTAATATAAATGTATTTTACTTGATGTATTACTATGAGTATCCTAGTATGAAGCATTTACTACACCTATAATAGGTTTCAAACCTAATCTCTCTATGATCACATGTGTAATAAATGAAAGTGTGGCTCCATAATCAATTAATGCATAAAGAGGAACTTAATAAAATAGTAACTGACCGGTGACTGCAGATGGGCTAGCCTCGGCTTCACTATGTGCTACTGTAAACACCAAAGCATTGGTACCTCTGGATGTCTACGCTGCGGGTGCAGAAGGGGCTTTGCAGTCTCTCATCATGTGTCCCAACTGTCGGCATCTGTAACATACATTCCGGCCCAATTCTCTGAGACGCTCCCTCGGATGATTTCTCCCACACTTTTGACATAGGGGGAAAATCGGTAGTCCTTGGTCGTTTATTCTGCCAATCCCTCTTGTTCTTTTTGGGCTAAAATCTTTTATTATTTCTCACTTCTCTATTTCTGGGAACATCAATTCTATCTCTCTATGGAGCAGGAGGTGGAACACTAAGTGCTACTGCTGATGGAATTGTTGGAGTCAGTTTATTCACAAATACTTCAGCCCGTAAGGCTCGTTCCAAAGCCTCACTATAGGTCTAAGAGGGATGGGCACCTTGATAATCCGAGAATTATACTATTTTTATTGGGCTTTTTGGCCGGATTGTAGATACTTTTTAGTTCATTTTTACCAGAATTGCTACTTAATTCTTTACATTTTGTGTTGCAGGCCAAAATGGACATTTTGAGCAAATAATGAGCGAATTGGAGTTTCTGGACCCAGAAGTAAGCGGATCTCAGAAGTTGGGAGAGTTTTGAAGCAGAGTGAAGCACTATGAAGCTTGTTCCCATGGGAGAGTATCGAAGATCGAAGATTCAAGCAAAAAAGCAAGCAAAGGGCAATTCTATAATTTCAAAATTCTTCATGAAGGTTCGCCAGATTCCATTTTACCTCATTGTCGCGACAAAGCTTGTTCTTCGCCGTGGCGAAGTCTGCGAATTTTAGTTTCTCCAAAACGCACAGTTTTATTTTAGGAAAGTTTTAGGTCTTTGGGTGAGGTATAAAAGAAAAAATTTACCATTTTCGTAGAGGTGGTCCAGTTTTCGTCGGTTCTCATTGAGTTTAGAATAAATTTGATATTTAGATCTTGTGGATTCTTCAACTAAGGGAGATCTCTACTCTTTTCTTTGCATTTTAATATGTTGAACATTGTGTTTATTGTTTTTCTTGCTGTGTATTTTGATTTAGTTATGAACTAACCCATTTTGGGTTAGGGTTTTGATTAAGTTCGGATTTCTATGGATTAATGAATTGATTATTGCTATTTCCATATTCTATTGCATAGATTTTGTGGTTATTCTATTTTTAATGGAATTTATTTGATGAATATGATGAGATTGAGAAATGAATCATATTGAGCTTCTTGGGTAATCACCATTGTAGTATTGAATGCTAGAGATAGATTTGAGAATCAATGAAATCAATCTAGGATTCCCTTAGCTTAATGAACTTGGATCTATTATTCTTTAATTTGTTGGGTGCAGAAGTTTAAAAGGGAAAAGTAAGAATTCATAGCTTGAGAAGGTACGTTTGACAACTTAGAGAATTCGATTTACAATCTGTGCATGTGAGTGTGGAATTAATATAGTCCGTAGAATTCATCTATAGAGTCCAAATGAAGTCAAAACCCTAACCGTTTGTTAAATTGATATTATTCTTGCGTTTTAATTCTTGCCTTTATTAATTACTTTTTAATCATTAGTAAGTTTTGTTTTAGTTTTAGTTTTAATCTCTCCCATTAATCCAAACAAATTCGGTTCCTCCAACTTAAAAAACAATTAGGAAAATTAGTGCTTAGCAACCAATCCTCATGGGAACGATACTTACTCATCACTTTATTACTTTGTGCGACTAGTACACTTGCTATTTTTGCATGTTGTAGTAACAACACATCAAGTTTTTAGTGCCGTTTCCGGGGATTGAGTTTTGTGTTAACATTAAATTTTTCTTGTGTTAGCTAGATTGGAGCTTTTTTTTCGCTTAATTGTTGTTTGTTTAAATTTTGTTATTCTTTTAGGTTGGTTTGTGATCTTACTTTTTCTATTTTTCTGTGTAGTTTATGCGAAGAGCAAGACGTCAGCCAGTGGTTCCCGTTGATCCAGAGATTGAAAGAACCACTAGAAGACTTAACAAAGAAAGAAGAGAAAGAGAGGCTACATGTAATACCCAAGATGTCAAAGGTATGTTCCTAACTCAAAATAGTCCTTTAAATGTTTATTTTGTGTTAAAAAGCATAAAATCTAACTAAGGGCAAAATAGTCAATTCATTTGGAACAGTATGAATCAATTATCCATAAAGAGGCTTAGGGGCAAAACGGTTATTTTACCTATGGATAAGCATTGAAAAAGTCAAGGATGAGTAGGCTTCATTGCATTTAATGGCATTAATTAAGTAATAATTATGTCTAGTGTGAAATGACCAAAATGCCCTTATATGAAGAATTAAGGACTTATGAGTTATACAATTAAAATAATTGGGCCAATTGCATAATTTTGGAAAATAAATGAAATATTTTCCTATAAATGAGATGAAATTCGTTCAAGCCAAAGGAGAGAGCCTTTCTTCAACATTTCTTCCATTTTCTCTCAAATCTTCCATGAAACAAGCTTTCTTTCTCTAGGTTTTCAAGGAGTTTTGCATAATTTTTCAAGGAGAACAAGATAGGAGCCTTGGATCTTCAATTTGAAGGGTTTAAGGTAAGGATTAAAAACTTTAGTTTTGATGTAATTTGAAGATTTGAGGTAGATGTTGAGGTATAATGTTATATATGTAGGATTAAGGTGTAAAAGAAGTCAAAGGCAAAGGATTTGTTGGAGGAAGTCTTTAAAAAGGTAAGGAAGAACCTCCCATGACTTTAGGGTTTATGCTAGGGTTTGTAGATTTTTA